CTGAGACGTGATATGTGGCGGAGGACTCCAGGCAGAACGGCTGCTTTCCAAGCAAAACAAACACTTTGAGGCCTCTGTGCTCCGGCTGTCTTTCACATACGGCATTGTTTAATTGTTTCAGGAGCTAGACTGGAGCATGCAGTGCACCGTCAGGGCAAACAGGGAAGATGTTTGGGGGAAGAGGCTGTCAGAATTTCCTCGCAGAAGTTTTCCCCTGTAGGTGCCATATTTACAGCTGCTACAATGACTTTATACAACTGTTTATAAATTTATGAGCGTTTTAGTCATCTCCTTTCCCATTGGTTATGCCCTGAATTTTTCCAGCATTTGCGTGGTTTTCAATTTTCACAGTTGCTGTCTGCACAGTGAGATTAATCCCACCTTGGGATCTGCACAGGAGCGTTTAAATTTATAATTCAGATGCGTACAGCTCCTGTAGTAGCAACTGTGGAGAGTTTCATGAATTTCTAATTACAAGGGATTCATTCAATAAATGTAGTTTCCTGAACTAAGTTGTAGCACCGAGCATAGATGAAGTTTAGGTAATTAAAATATGTGAGTGTCCTCTTGCACAATGCAGGAGCCTTACTTCACTTACTCGGGTTTCCTTTTGGCTGCTTTTCTCTGCTATACTCATGCATTTCAGTAGCAGAACAGTAGCACCTTGGGATAGGCAAAGGTTTTCCTTATCTCTTGTGTTGCACTCAGAGCAACTGAGCTGGAGTTACCACTGGAGGAAGAGGCCCTCATGAGTTCGAAATCTTTTGTTCCATTTGGGAAATGTGTTTCCAGCTTCTTGCCTGCATGCTTTGTGCTTTGATACATTCTTCCGTATGCACTTTTCCGGATTGGTTTATAGAAGGCAGTAAAACTGTTTTAAATATTTTTACAAGGGGGGTAACATACAAAGCAAAAATGATGTTATTTAGAAATTAACATTATTTGAAATGAAAATGTATCTGAATGATTCAATAATGCACATAGTGTCAGAGTGAATGGGAAAGCTGTATGTGAAGGAGGTTTATGCCTTGGGTCCTGAGGTGAGCAACTTAAGGCCTGAAGCATAAGCCTCAAATCTTGAGGCTTGTGAAGCTTACAAGTCATGTTTCTTTCAACACAGGGATTTGAGGAAAGAAATAAAATCACTTTGTGTGCTCACACTTCTTGTGCACCTGACCAGCTCTGCCACTTCCTTCTCTTCAGTGCCCGCTCTGGGCAGTGTCCCCAGTGCAGCCATAAGGGTGTTACCAGGGCACTATGAAACCTGTTCTGTTTCCCTTTCCCTAACAGCTGGGCTTTAGGCTCTCAGCTTTAATCACATTTCAATCAGGGAGTCTGCAGGTACTTCCTGAGGTCAGGTAGAGTTCCTGCACCAATACTGCATAGTGTGCAGGCAGCAAGAATATGTGATAATGCTACAGACCAGCTTTATGGATGCACAGAAGGCAGTTACCTGAGGCTAGGGCAGAGAAGGCCCATCGCCTGCTCTATCTCAACCAGAGGGCTGGTAATGCTTGCTGGGGTTACTACGTTGTGTGCATCTCTGCCCCCAAATTCTCCTGTGTTTCGTTTTTAAGATTCTCTTCAGAATGGTGAAAGGTGTACTTTCATGAGACTAATCTTTGAAAATATTTTTTTGAGAAGATGTGGCGTGCTTGACAGCATGCCAATAGCACAGGGTTTTTTCAGCCTTCTGGACTTCAGCCCATGGTAGAAAAAAGGCTCTGATCCTGCTGGATTCAAGTCAACACAACCTGTGGATTTTAATGTGAGGTTTAACTGATTTTAACTTAAGTAAATAGCATTACTCTAGGATGATAAAATTTGTCAGTGTTACAACTCTATGCCAAAAGTTCAGTTAAGAGTAGTATTTTCTTAAGTATTTTCCTTTACTTTCTTGTCTAAATAGCAAAAATATCGTTGTCTTTGAAAGGCAAATAGGTATAATAATCGCAGCAATACAAGACTACTGAGTGTTTTGCATTCCAGTGTTGCAAAGTTTTAGAGGAGGAAGAAGAGAATTGTCCTTGTTTGTGTCCTCCACAGTCATCTTGATCCTATAAAACTGCTTCTGTTAAAACAGGGCGGGCTTGACAGTGAGAAAAAAGAAAGCAAATACAGTCAGCTTTTCTTAGGATTTTGTTACGCGGGATGCAGCTGGCTATTCATCTGCATAGTTTTCATTTTAGGCTGAAAGTGGTAATTTTCCATTTAATTGCAGTCTCAGGCTATGAGTTCACAAGTAACTGCTCAAGCAAAAGACTTCTATAAAGCCTTGGGAACCTAGATAGTGTCTTGTAAATGATAATTTACAAAAACTACAATGTATTTTAAAAAGCACTTGCTGCAGACAGCTTTTTAAAGCAACAGATAAATCAGAAAGTGGAGCATCTACTGCTGAGAAGTTGGAGTCTAAAGGCATGCTGGGCACACAGCGGGTTCTCCTGAGTGGCTACGTGAAGCTTTAAGATATGCTAGCTTGTAAAATGCTCAATTTCTCAGCTGTATGCTGATCTGTGGACAAATGAGGTGCTCATGAGACGTGTTTGGAACATGGGGCTTCTGTTCCCTCCCTCCTTGAGGCCAGGGTGAGAGACTGGGCGAGGTTTGTAGTGGTGTGCCTGCAGTCTTTCCTGGATGAAATACTTGCTTGGATTCCATTTTGACTAATGAGAGCTAATGGAGAAAGAGGGGAATGTCTGGTGCCAAATAGCTAATTTCACTTCCTTGATCTCTGAGCATCTGTGGAATTTCCCTGGTCTTGGTCCAACTTCTGCTTGACTGCAGAAGGAGCCCTCAAGTCTGTCAGTGAGTGGATGTGATCTCCTTTTCACGCTATCTTCCACTCAAGGACTTCAGTTCCCTTTCTGTGCTATAAGATCAGCAAAAGCAGATAACCAGACCACAGGCAAAATCCCCAAGTTGGGCAATGACCTTGTGTCAGCCTTGAACACTTCATAGCAAGCATGTGGCAATGGGCTGCTCTGTGTTCTTCTGCCTGCTGTGACTGGCAGCTGCGTGGTGGCAGGGTGGGCTCTGTGCTTTTGCAAACTCTGGCCTTAGGAACTTTCTGGGAGCACTAATCCAATGCCACTTCATGGCAGTCAGCGGTAATTTCCTGTCTGTGTTAAAAGGCTGCATTTCCAGAAAGTTGTGTCTAGCTTTCCTTTTTGTATTAAATCTTAAGAACATTTTGTCACCCTTTCTGTAATCAAAGGGCATAGGAAGTACAATTTCACAGAGATAAGAGATTTACATGTAGGCTGAGGAATGCATGAACAAAAAGACCTCCGGGATTGAGAAATAAATACATATCTTTTTTTCTTTGAGTATATGTACTACTGTTGCTTACTCAGCTATGATGGCCCTTTGGTTACAGTACCACCTTTGCAGTAACTTGAGCTGCTGAGGAGAAATGGTCATAAGCAGGCTCTCCCATTGTTTCACATGCAGATCAAGTTGTGAATTGCAGCTCTCGATACTGACAAATAACTTTTAATTGGTTCTTTCATTCTAATTGGAATTTTCCCACTGATTTCAGATAGATCATGGTTATCGATATGGGCCTTTTAATCTTGAGTTGTATACCAGGAGTGGGGCTTGTCTCATCTAACTTGAGCTATCTGAAACCTGTCAGGCGAGTTGTTCTGTAGGAGCTGCTGCCTCTCCGTTGGTTATGAGGAATTTAGGTGGCTGGGCCCTGGAGTAGATAGTTCTATCCCAGCTATTTGGAGGAAGGGAATTTGAATTCCATCCTCTGATGCATTTCTGTGAGAAAAACCGGCCTTGCTGGAGCATACCAGAATCCTCTCAATAGTTGTAGCCCATTAGAAGAGAAGGCTCTTTCAGTACTGATTTTTTTTTCCCTGTATATTATTCATTAAAGTAAATTTGTAGAAATTCTGCTTGGATTTCTATTAAGCTGTGTGATGGCATAACATAACAATTGCATAACAAAATGCAAACATTGCATTTTTTAATCCATAGCAGTGGCGGAAATACAGATACCTGCATGAGGAAGATTCTTGTTGCTAATACCCCTTCCCCAAAGTGTGTTCCGTGATGCATAACCCAAAACCTCAACTGCCTACTTTCTAAAACTCATTTTTTATTTTACTCATTTGAGAAACTAAAGCTTGTGCATGTTTTTCTAGGCACGTCATTAGTATGATAACTGGGACCCAAAAGTCATAGGCATTGTTCTTGGCTCCTATGAACCGTCCCTGAGCAACGCCCTTAACACTGTTCTATGGAAAATAGTTATCTGTATTTAGCAGTGAACTGAGTTGGTACTTTCCGCGCAACTTCCAATAGAAAATACCAAGCAAAAAATACTGGTTTTAGTCTTAATTCTTTTTTATGGATGATACTTTATGGTTTCAAAACAACAACATTTTTGTTATAGCAAAGCATTTGTAAACTATGTTTGTGGTAAAACTTGTGTTGCAACTACCAGCGGTAAGAAGGCTGTGGAGCAGTGCATGATGAGTAGAATCAGTCTGCTTAAGCCAGGTATGTTTAGGCTCATGCAGTCTGTTAACAGAAATGGATCCTTAGCTTTTGCTCTGTCCCCAATATTTGCCTGGGACTTTAACCTATCTGGAACCCTGTACAGCACATAGAGACTTGAAGTGGCTTAACATTAAATGACAAATAAACATATTAGGGAAAGAATACTGAAATACTGAAGAGAGTTGTAGGTCTTTCTGTGAGTATGTCTTAAGCATTGATCATTTAGTGAAAGGAATTCATTCTTCTTTATATTTTGTTTTGAATCTCCTCTGTGTGACAATCCTATGTTGCTCTGTAAAATCCAGTGGTGTAATTCTCCTTAATTGGAGTATTTCAGAATGTATCTAGAGAGCAATTCCTCCTGGAGAGGCTGGTGTTTCCCATTCAGTAGGTTTTAAGGTAGTGCAAGACTTTGTTACCCTGTTTCTTCTCTTCACCCCTTCCAAACTCTTTGTAATTTCATTAACCCAACATCTGTTCCGTTTTAGGAGAAACCTGATGCCAGTCCCACATCTCTACAACTGCGATCCCAGATTGAGGTGAGTACTTTGATTTTGGTTGTCTATTTCTGTTTGTTTGATCTTTAATTTTCTACATAAATTGGGCAAAGGATGCTCTCGTGTCTGGTCTCACTGCTGTGTCTTCTCTTGCAGGAGTCACTTGGTATCAGCAGCACCGCATCAACACCTGACACTGAAAGAAAGTAAGTAAAGGCACAGGAGGTCAGAAAGGAGGGAGGGGGAATTTGGTGTTTTCTTTTTCCTTGGAGTAAATTCATTTTAAATTGCATTGGTACTTCAGGATTTAAGATGCAGCCTCTGTTAATGAAACCCAGTTTGGAACCCGTTCCTTCTCTCTTTCTCTCTTGGTATTTTGTTATGTTGTTGTTTGTTTGTTTGTTTTTCATTCAAAGGAAGGATATCTTTTCTCCCTTATGTGTGCACTCAGGATGTGATACACCATTAAGACTGGTAGTTATTTCTAAGGAGCATTACTGATTACGCGTTCTCTGCAAATTAAAGCTGCTTAAAAATAACTTTATGGGGCTAGACCTGAACGCAGTCAAGGAAAGATTGGCTGGGGAAATAGAGCTTCAAGTTTTAACCACTTTCCTTTTCCTGTGCACTCCTGGGTTTGTAGCTGTGCTTTTGAAGAAGGTGCCAAGGGAGTAAAGTATTTTAAAATGAAGTTAAAAGGAACTTTAATTTTAGCAGTCCTTAATAAAAAGCTTTCTGTGTGGACTGAGAGGGTTTCTGTTTACTGTCACCTCCTGCTGCAATGTGTGCACTTGTTTTCAGTGCCTCCTTCCTTTGATCCCAAGATCCTGGATCCCTACTGCTAAGGGTAATGTGCAGCAGGCAGGAAGACAACTGATACTGTATTTCCCATTGCCTTCATGTTGCAGGTTTGTGCCAGCTGGATTAGTTCAGATGCGCTGCATAGAGTACAGGTCTGAATGTAAGGTGCTTTAGTAAATTTACTACAGCTCCACATGTGAGTAACTTCTAGGGGAGCCAGGGTTCAACTGGACCATAGCAGGAAAGATTTAAAAAATTACTGCCCTTGCTGTTTGCCAGTTCAGCAGAGCCAGCCTCAGTCCCAGGTGGAGCTGCAGTAGATGTGAGCCGTGGGACTTGACTCACTGAGTGCTTGCCACATGGAAGTCAGGTGTCTAGTGTGCTGCTTACAGGCTTCTTGCACAAGTGGCTGAAAGCTGATTCATGCTAAAGATCTTGTAAACTTATTCATTATTTTTTAGAGATGCCTTGTCGCTCTTTGTCACTCACAGAGTGATGATTTGCTTGAGGTGAATACTCCTTTTCAAAACAGCTTAAGATGGATAAAGGTGAATTTTGCATTGGTGCCATCATTGCCTCCATTTTATTTGTTGTTAACGGAGAAAGTCTAAAAGGCTTAAGATTTAAAAGTGGTGCTTCAGATATTGAAACATGGATAAGTTCCTTTCAAGGATGCTTCTGTGTCTAGCACTGTAATGAAACTAAAAGTGCAAAGTGGATGGGAACATTATAAGCACTGTACTCTGGGAAGTAAGCTTCTAAGTTCATAATCATAATGCTTTTCTCAAAGCACTTTCTCCATGAGCAAATATCATTCTCCTACCTCAGGTAAGTGATCAGATCTCACAGGAGGGCAGCATCCAACTGGGAATGAAGTCCTCTTACAGGTTCTAGCCAACCTCCTGGACTGTGTCTTTTTGTAGATATTATATCACAAATAACTGAGTGAGGAGAGAGTATCTATAGAAATATCTTTTGAGTAATAGTATTCTGAGAGTACTCATTTATTTCATTGAAGAGAAATTCACTATGTTATCTTATACCAGATGGAAGAGACCTATGATTTTTGTAGAGCATTCAAGATTGTAAGTGTCCTTTTTGAGGATTTCTTCTGTAAACTGAGGGGCATACATAGGTAACTCAGTTGAATATATGAAATTGGCACAAGAGAGATTGTGTCAGAAATTTTTACAGTAGGAAACAAGCCATCAGTATGTGCACAGAGTGTTTAAAATAATGAGTATCTACTTGATGCCATACAAAATAATCAAAACAGAAATAGTACAGGCCTATGCTTATTCATGACAACCAGCCCTATCAATGCTGGTTTCATTTCTGTACCTCAGAGTCAATTCAACCCTCTAAATTGGAGGGAGAGGTTATAAAATTGATTTGCAGAAAAACTAATATTTCAAGTCCGTGAGATAATAGTAAGATGCTGAGTTGTTAGCTTTTTGAGGGAGGATGTGTCAGCTGTAGAGGCTTTTTCATGATTATTGTTTAATTTGTGGCTTTTGAGTAAATTTTGCTGCGTGGGCATGCTGCAAGAGACAGGAAAACTTGTCCCTTTTGGGGACAGTGCTTCTGTGGTCACCTCTGCTGTGTGATAGATCTGAGGTGAACTTTTTACAAAGCTTCTTCTGTTATTGGAAGAGTCCCATTTTCCAAACATGAAACTCAGTGCAGATGTATATTGATTTCTAAAATTCTGAAACAGCTTAAGGCGTGTGAATTGGAAAGATTTGTCCTTTTTTTATAGGGGGTGGAAAACCCATTGTTATGAATACTGTTATAAAGCCCAAGTAAAAGCTTGGCCAACAGAAACTTACATATCTTCATATTAAAAATACAAACTTTTTCATAGAATGAGCTCAGGGGAGTTGTTTGTGTGGTATCCTGAGCAGGCTGCTTCAGAAAGTGAAGAAAAATTAAAAAAAAAAAAAAAAAAAAAGGAGTTGCAATGGGGAAGGCAAGTGGCCCAGTAAATTGCAGGACTTATTGGTAGCTCCCTCATCCAAAGTTTCTGTTTGCACACCCTCCAGCTTAACTCTTCTAGAATATAATGTTTTAAAATAACACACCTTGATGGTTGTTTAATTTTACAGAGTTAAGACATTCCAGACAGAAAGAGGCTTTGAGGGAGTCTTGGAATAAGCTATGTTTGCTTTAACCTTTGGTTTGGTTTCCTTTTTTCGTGATACCTGATTGGGAAAAAAAAAAAAACTCTGACAGTCTCTACTATACACCACAGTGAAAACAGATCAGCCATGATGCCCTGTGGTAGGAAAAAATCCCGTTTATGTGGACAAGTAGTGTGTGCTCAGTCTTACCTTGAATCTTAGGAACTGTGCCGCCCAAGTTGTTATTATTAACATCTGTTCAAAGCCAGTGTGAAAATAGTTTGGTTCCCTTAGTCCATCAAGTTGTCAAACAAGTATCTGTCTAGTGGGTGATGTGGCTGCAACGTAGAAGAACAGCCATAGTGCCTGGAGGGAGGCAAAAAGGAGTTAAATAGCCTGGAGTCAGAGCTGCTTGTCATTTCAAGTGGTTGTCCTTCCAGAAGTTACTTGGGGCGATGCCACCTTCCTCTGTCACTGGCAGCACTTTCCTTCTTTCCTTTTAATTAGAGAAAGCTAAAAAAAAAAAAAAAAAAAAAATCACATGTGAACCTCCTCTATGCATTATAAATGCCCTAGCAAAGATGCTTTTCATTTGATTGATTCTGACAAGGAGAGAAAAAGCTTCACTGTAGCAAAGGCCTGTGAGATTTATGTGAAGATGTGTGGAGAATAACACCAAAGGTGCTGATGTAGCCTGGAAAGCTATCATTAAAAACAGAATAAAAAGTTGTGTTAGTTCAAGCTTCAGCCTGCAATTGCTGTACATTTTTTGGCCATACTAGAGTTACTTCTGTACATTGAAATGGGCAGGCTTCCTAGTCCTATAATACTCAGCAAAGTGTGGAAGGATGTGTTTGTAGCTTTTTTCTTGTAATAATTACTTTCATTTCTTTCTGCCCTTTCCAAAGTTCTCTTTCTAAACTTGAGGGATACTTTCAGTTGCACTAGTGTAACTTAGCAGATTCTCAGTCAGCCTCCATCAAAGTGGAGTGGTACCTCTAAGCATGACGTTTTTCATTTTAAACAAGTCTCCCCAGAATTGCAAGCATTTCTGTGTAGACACACTGATTTCTGATTTGCTGGAAGAATAATAGCTATAACAAATAGGCAGTAAATGTGCTCTTAGTAGTTACTATCCTTTCTTTGTCCCCACAGCATGTTGATTTGGGGATATATTGTATATACAATCCCTATTATTCAAAGTGATGGCAACACCCCAAGGATGTTTACTCAAACGGGAGACTGAGCAGGGTTTTCTCATAATTGTAAACAGAGCATTTAAAACAATGTAATCCAACTTTTAGCCTGTTCCCGTTTTTAAGCATTCGAACCTACATGACAGACTGATGAGCTCTGCATGTTTGCCAGGAAATCCAGGTTAAACTGAGTCCCCTGAACTTAAGCTTCTGCATCCTGACTCTCATCCTGTTTTCAGAAGAACTGGGGATGTTGCAGAGGGGAAGTTGTGTATTTTCCCTCTTGGGAAATAGATCTGTTTGCTCTCAGTGCTTACTTACTTAGACAAGTTTCAATTGTGGTGTATCAGAGAACTGCCAGAAAAGAGGGAAGTAAGTGAGAAACACAAGAGTACTGCATACAGATAGGATGAGGTACAGTCACTCCTGTGTACTAATTTATTTATTTTTTCTAGTTTGCAGCTGCTAGAGAAAGGAAAGACAGAAAACAGTGCATGGGGGGGTAACACCTGTGACTTTATCTGGCATTTCACAGGCATTCCTGCCACCCCTGGATGTCAGTGGGTGCTAGGAATTGCCACCTTCTGCATGAATCGCTTGTTCTTTTCTTGAATTATAGCAGTCAAGCATGCTACAGACCAAGTAAATGGTCATAATTTGTGTTAATTGCCCTGATTCACTCAGCTCAGTACAATTTAGGTGTTCTGTTACCAATGATCTTCAAGACCAAAATTCCAGACTCTGATGGAGCGGGTAAATGATCACGGATTTCAAGAATTGCCACATGGAAGATGCTGGGGAGCAGTTTGTGCATATGGCACAGGCTGCATGGTTGTCATTACTCAGGAGTTTTGCATTCCAGCATGGGGAGCTGCTGCACCTCTGGCAACTGTCCTCAGCTCCCAGCTTCAGCTGCTCACCAGTGTGTCTTTATCTTGCTTTCCATGTGTGCAGGACGATCATCTTAAACCAAGTTCCTTGCACACTGAGTTCATGCATCCTAGCCAGCTCCCTGGTTACTTGCTGTGGATGTCAAAGGAGGAGTTGCAGGCTGCTCAGTAGTTGGGGCTTTCCCTGAGATTGTTAGCA